TAATCGATTAATGATGTAGACTGCAGTTTTGACTGCATAAACCCACAAATAGTCTTGAATATTTGGTTGAAACTTAAGGGCTCTAGCTATGTTAAGTATATGCCTATGCTTGCGCTCTACAACTCCATTTTGTTGTGAAGTGTACACACATTTGCTTTGATGTATGATACCTAAACCAACCAATAAGTCATGACATTGATGATTGAAAAATTCTAAACCGTTATCAGTTCTAATGCATTTGGGGGTCTGATTATGCTGATTTTTTACCACGTGAAGGAAATCTTTTAAGTTTTGATACACATCAGATTTGTATTGCATAAGGAAAATCCATGTAGTCCTAGAGAAGTCATCCACTATGGTAAGAAAAAAAATGTAGCATTTCCTTGGTTTGGTAACTTATAAGGTCCCCAAACATCTAAGTGTAACAACTCAAAAATATGTGATGTATGTGTTTTACTTAAGGCAAATGGTAACCTGGTTTGCTTTGCTAAAGGACAAATGCTGTAGTGAAAATTAGAGTGTGCAGGGAATTCATGATGTAATTTTCATAGAACTGGTAAGGGTGCATGTCCTAATCTCTTATGCCAAAATACAATGTTACTATATAGTTCTATTCACATTACTAAAGGCCTTTTTATTGATGAATCAAAGGTTACATCACAAGAATTACAAACATAATTCTTTATTCCTTAAACTGGAAGACAGTGCTTTATTTATGAAAAAGGTATACAATGGTATAGCCCTTGATATTGCTTACCAATCCCCTTGAGTTTGCCATTCCAAAGATCATGGATAACACAAAAATCCGGATAAAATTTGATGGAACAGTGATTTGATGCAGTTAATTTGGATATCGACATCAAATTATACTTAAAATCTGGTAAATGTAAAACTTTTTCAAGAGACAAATTTTCTTGCAATTTTATAGAACCAACATGAGTTATTGGTGTTTTAGTTCTATTAGGAAGTCCTACATGACTTTTTACAGGTGAATTATTAGCTATAGAACAAGGTTTTGGAAATTATGTGTCATATGGTCAGTGGCCCCAGAATCAAGAATCCAATCAAAATTACTAAAATTTGAGTATAGAGACACAATTGTACCTGCTAGATTAGCAGACGGTGCACTCATGTTCTCTTTCCCTAGCAATTGAAGTAGTTGTGCATACTGCTCTGGAGTTAACACATTGTCGAGATTATATCCTACTTTGGTATTGTCACCTACTATTTTAGAGTTCACCAACTGATCCTGAGTCGAATGGACTTGATTGGCCTTAGCTTTTGTCCCTGACTTTCTCTTGGTGAACGGAAAATTAGTTGGATAACCGTGTAGTTTATAACAGGTTTCTCTCTTATGCCCTGGAGCATGACAATAGTCATACTCTATGTAGGGTTTCTTCGCCTTGTATTTTGAGCTTTGATTCTGATTCCTCTGATTGCCTTGTGAATATAGCGTTGTAGAAATCTCAATGTTTTGATTAGAACCAGTCAAGACCTTCTGGCTTCCATCTTGACTTACTATGGCATATGCTTGGTTGACTGAAGGCAGAAGGACCATCAATAAGATTTGACTCCTTACCAAAGCATACGATTCATTAAGTCCTATTAGAAACTACAAAAGCTTCTACTGATTGAGATGAGCCAAATATGCCTGGCTGAATCACTGTCTAGAGGTGGTAGACTCACCAACGAACTCAGTTCATCCCACAAAGTTTTCAATCTGTTATAATAAATCGTAATCGAACTTGTACCTTGTACTAGATTGGCTATTTCCTTGTGAATCCCAAAAACTCTTGTACGATTCACTTTATTGTACTGTTCTTGGAGATCTTGCCAAACTTGATACGCACTGTTTGAATACACAATACTGTTGAAAATGTCTTTTGAAACAGTATTAAAAATCCATGTAAAAACCAGAGAATTTCAGCGTTCCCATTGTGCATGCAATCCTTTATTGAATTTCGATTTCTCATAAGATCTGTTGACAAATCAAAACTTATTTTTTGCCCTTAGCGAAACCGTCATGGCACGACTCCATATCCCATAGTTCTCAGTTGCGGTAAGCTGCTCCAAAATCAGAATTGAACCAGGGGTGTCCGACGGGTGAATGTAAAGAGGGGAACTTGAATCTGTGATATTTGACATCTGCCTGTAAGGAAATTTAATTGATCTAGAACGAAATCAGCTTGATTCTGATTAAGAATGGTGAAGTAGGAAAAATTGATCTTGAAATTCGATCTTTAAATTCGAACTTAGGACAACTTCAAACTTGATCTTGAATTCGAACTTGAGACAGCTTCGAACTTGAGCTTGATTCTTCAGTCGAAGTTGTTGATTTCCCAGCTTTAATCACTGCTCTAATACCATATTCGAACTTATTTGAGAGAAGAGAAAGAGAAACCTCATTTTGTATTATTCAAGTCTAAAGGTAAAGTTACGAACTGTATCACATTTATTACATTTCAGTAAAAATGGTTAATTAACCATAGTTGATAGTAACCATAGTAACTAATTTAACCAACTAAACATCTCTAAATGTTTCTAATAGCTTGTTGTTTACTTAAAGAAGCAAGAGTTGCTAAAATCAAAATTAAAAAATAATTTGTTAATTTATTGCATTTTAAAACAGGTTTCCCAAGATATCTAGACATGCTCAAATAACATCATTCATGTCATGATTTATGGCACTAACTCTAACAAGCTAACTTCCTAAAGCTGAATAATAAAACTTCTTGTATTTGACTTTAATATGCTTAACAACTAACAAAACTAACTACAGAAAATTAAAATACTAACTCTTTCTGATTTTTATGGAAAATTTCAGTTTTTTTTCCAGCAAAATTAGTTGATTTGATTTAATAAGAAGGAAATATTCGGCTTGTTGGTGTCAAGCCTAGTTAGTAAAAACGCGTTTTATAAGCGAATTGTATGAACAACCGTATAATTCGCGTATAAAACGCACGTTTACGTATTTTGTAAAATCTTCCGAATTATACGCGTATAATAAGGAGACCCGTATAATTTGCAAATTATTCGCGAATAATTGCAAAAAAAAAAAAAAAAAAAAAAAACAAATACTCACCCCCCCAAAACGACGTCGTTTAGTGGGGTTTGACTAAAAATTAAAACAAATCTTTCTCTTCTTCATTTCTTCTTCAGTTCTTCTTCCTCAGTTTCGGTTCTTCTTCTTCTGTAGTTCTTCTTCAACTTTTCTTCCTCAGTTCTTCACGTTTTCAGCTCTTCTTCATCTCTTGTTCTCTTCTTCTAGGATTCAACTTCAAGTTCGGGACTTCAAGGTACACACTTGACACTTGTTCTCTTCTCTTTGAATCTCATTGGTTGATTGCTTGTGTTTTTGTTGGTGTGACTTGTGAGTAGTAGTAGTAGTAAGGGCTAGTGGATTGATGGATTTGTTATGTTGGTGGATTGATGGATTTGTTTGAAACATGTTTGATGAAATGCTTGTGAGAGTTATATTTGTATTTGTTACTGTGGTCTTTACAAAGTATTGTGGTGATTGCTTTGTTGTTGGAGAATGTAACGCTTGTTTGTAAAAGAGGGAAGGAAATGTTGGCGCATTAGGTTGGTTTATGCTAGAAATTTGCTAGTTATTTTTTAGATGGCATATCTGTCCGAAAATAAATAATTCTTTAAAAATATCAAGTATGCTTTTTTGAATAAATATTTCAAACCTTCTACTCATTGAATCTAGGTAGCTTCCTCATAACACCGACCAAATGTTTTTCGAATCAGAATTCCCTCCTGATATGAGTTTTTACCAAGTAAACTCTATAAAACCAATATCCCAAATTTGTCTTAGATCTCCTGTGTCTTAGACTCAGATATAATAAGATGGATGAGAAGATGATCACCAGAATCGCATTATCACTTTGCAGGTTAGAATTATGGTGTTTTATGTAAACAAGACAACCCTTCTCATAGAGTACGTATGAAGCTGTTTTAAGTATTCTAAAAATAGAACCCTTTGTGATTGCTAGTTAAGTTGAGGACGAACAAACCCAAAGTCTGTGTGACCCTGTAACTATTAACTGGCTATGTGTAGTGACGCAAGTCATCTTTAGTAGGCATATTCATTGGATTTTTGGCCTAAAGAGTTCAATTATTGCAATGACTATTGACTAGCTAGTGTGTAGTGGCGCAGGTCATGCAGCTTTAGTAATTCTATTCTTTGGAGTTTTCGCCTAAAGAGTTCAATTATTGCAACATATATCAACAAAGGGTACATGAGAAACATGCTAATTCGTTGTCTGCGAGGTCCACTCTTTTTATGTATGACAAATGAATGGAATAATCTTTTCTTTATTTATTTGTAAAAACTTATGATCGGTAGATATTGGATGAAATTATAACAAAGATAATAGATTTTTATCATAAATTATTAAACTACATCTGAATAATCAGATCATTAAAAGCTCTAGAATGTAAATTTTCGGAAGTAAGACTCTAAATATTTCTTTTTATGTTACTAGAGTTGTTCTTGTTGAATAAAATTGGCTGCTTCAAGGAACTTGCTCTAGTTGTACAATGTTAATGGACATCGTAAAGGCAGTTGGGTTCCCACTTACCACTATTTATTTTTTTCAACATATATACATATTACCTAAAATACGTAAAATGAACTTGTCAAAGACAGGAAACTTCATGCATGCACCATTAAAGAATTGATTTAAAGATTGAAGAAATCACTATATAAACTTCATCATTCTTAAGTTTCAGTGGTGAAAATGTGGAAAGAATGAGAAAAAGAATGAAGTCATTCTCATTTCCATTATTTGAAATAACATATTTGTATTTGATTGTATTTGTATTTGATTGCCTAATTTTGCTTTTAAATGAATGTAAGAAAAAGTGATGATTAAAAAGAAGAAATTAAATGTGAAAAGAAGCTACTACTTAATATTAATTTTTATCAATCTTTTTTCCATTTGTATTTGATGATGTTCTCTTTTATGTTCTTGTAAATATAGAGTCAAACCAATATGGTACGAAAAAAAGATAAAATTTGGGAGCATGTTGAGGAGCTCCAAGGGAATAAATGGAAATGTAAATTTTGTCAAAAAGTATTTAGTGGTGGGGCTTACAGAATTAAAGCAAACTTGTCAGGAATTACTGGCCGTGATGTTGAGATTTGTAGTAAAGTCAATCATGAGACACAATCATGTGCATTCTTAGCTATGTCTAGAAGTGGAAGTAACAAAAAATTAAAAAGTTCAGCCGGTTCTTCTACTGCTTTAAACTCTAATGATCATGAGGATGTAACAGATTCGCCATTTTCACCACTTTCTAAGGGTAGCCAAAGATGTCAAAGTCAAGCATCTTTACTAGAAATGAATAAGAAAAAAGACAAGGAGTTTGTTGATAAAATGTTTGCTAAGTGTTTTGTGGTGAAAAATATCGCTTTTAATATTGTTCAAACTGGTGCTTTTGGAGAATTTGTTAAGGTAGTGGCGGAATATGGTGCAACATACAAGCTTCCATCTTATTCAACTCTTTGAACTAAGTTAATTCCTGAATCTAGAAAAGGTGTTGATGAGTATGTTGCTATGGTGAAGCGTTCTTGGGAGACATTTGGATCTGGTTGGACTATAATGCCTGATATATAGACTGATATAAGGCACCGATCTTTCATTAATCTTGTGGCATATTCACCTAGTGGTCCAGTGTTTATAAAATCATTGGATGTTTCTCGAGAAAGAAAAACTGGGATTTATCTTAAAGAAATTGTTGTTTCTGTGATTGAATCAATTGGACAAGAACATGTTGTGCAATTCATAACTGATAATGGTAGCAATTTCACATCTGTTGGTGACATGCTCACTGGACTGTATCCTCAAATGTATAAGACGAGGTGTGCTGCTCATGGAATTCAACTTCTTTTGAAAGACATATATGAAGAAGTTAATTGGGTAAAAGTTGCCATAGATGAAGCAAGAATAATAGTTATGTTCATGACATGATACACAGTTCTTCATGCAGCAATGAAATAGCTCACCAAAGATAGACAATTGAGACAACCTTGTGCCACAAGATTTGCTTCAAATTTTTTAATGCTTCAATCTGTGTTGGATTTGGAGAATGAACTTCGACTCTTTGTTGCTTCATCTGAATGGAGGGGTTTTGATTATTGTAAGACCGAATCAGGTAAAAGGGTCACTGAAATTGTTCAGAGTGATTTTTGGGCTAGAGGAAGGGAGGTTATAAAAACTATTGAGCCATTTGTTCGAGTTCTTAGTTTGGTTGATGGTGATGGATCTACTGCTAGTTACTTATATGAAGCAATGACGAGGGCAAAAGTTGCAATCAAAGAAAGATGTAATAGTGAGGCAAGCAAGTATGAGAGAATTTGGGAATTGTTTGAGAATCGTCAGGTCAACAACATCATTCATCCTATACATGTTGCAACTGCCTTTCTCAATCCATCTTATCTTTTCTCACAAAATTTTAGAGAGGATAGGGAGATGAAAGATGGCATCAATATCATTCATGAAAACCTGCTTCTAATAGAAGAAAAGCATCCATTTATGAGAGAGGTTTAGTTGTATCGTAGTAGGCTAGCTACCTTATTTACTGCAATGGCAAAAACGATGTTACAAACAAGTCATCCTCGTAAGTGTTTTAAAAAATTTCAATATCTTTTCTATACATTGCATCTCTCTTTATATTAAAGAAAGTTTTTTATGTCATTTGCAAGAATATGGTGGGATTACAATGGGGATGATCTTTCTGTGCTCAAGAAGTATGCCATTCAAATTCTGAGTCAACCTTGTAGCGCTTCATTATGTGAGAGAAATTGGAGTGCCTTTGAAGCTGCTCAAACAAAAAAATGGAATAGGTTGTCACATGAAATTCTAGACACTCTTGTGTATGTTAGGATGAACACTATGATGATGGATAAATTCACTTCCATGATGAGTCGTGACTTGGAACCTATAGATCTTGAGAAATTGGGGGAGCTTCCAGACTATGAATATGAAGAAATTCATATGGACGAAGATGCTAATTCTACACCAACAGTTGAGGGTTACATGGATGACTTAATGGATAATGATGACATTGCTTGGTTGGACGATGCTCTTTTTTGAGTTGTTATTGACTTATTGTTGTTTATGTACTTTGTGAGTTTTTGTTACAAACTATAATTTGAATCTTGGTTGTATTATTTGTGTATTTTATTTGTTTGGAGCTCTTATTCGACTTTGAATTTTGGTTTTGTTATGACTTATGTGTTTGATTTGACACTATAGTTGAATCTTGGCTAAATATTGTGTTTAAGTCTGGAGACTATAATTTGAATATCAGTTATATATTGGGTATTTGTGTTATTGGTTAATTGAATACTTTGCATTTGAAATATTATATTGATTTTAACCAGGTAGTCCATAAAAATGTTAAAACTAAGATCGATATTGCAGTATTTTTTAAAACATATTATTGACAATGCACCGTATTAAACTCGTATATACCCGTATCGTATTTTTCCTGTATCCGAATTTTATGGCCGAATTTTTAGAAATGTATTTTTCACCGTTTGCCGTATTGTACCCGTAAAATTCCCGTACCCTTTTTTTATCATACTAGTATTTACTAACTAGGGTGTCAAGTACTTAAGGGTTCTAAGCCTCTAACCAGTGGTAGGCCCAGGATTTTACGTGAAAGAGGACACCATGGCAATTTTTATATTTATTAAGTCTTATTGCTGTTGAACACTCTACTTTTCCCTTGTAACAATATTATCCATTACCCTAAAAGAGTTGGCCGCTTTCATCTATCTTTATAAAATGAACTGAAGCAGATTTTCTTCTACTTCAAGTTTATTAAAACCTCTCAATAGTGTTTTTTTTTTTTTTTTTATTTTTTTATTTTTTTGGTAATTAAGCTTTTATAAACCAAAAAAAGAAGGGCACTTCATAAGGCAACAAATAATCTGCTACTGGACAGCCCTGGAAATAGGAAGTGAAGCAAACTACTCTCTAAAAGGAGTACAGCAACAAAAGTCCCATAATTGGACATACCAAGAGTCTAGGGCTAAAATAAAAACAATCCAAATAGCCTAAACACGGCCTACAAACACTTAACAATCAAACCCCAGGAAGGGACAGAGAGTGGTCGAGGCTAGCTACTCCAAAGCATCAAAGTAAAATAGAGTCAGGCAGACTCTACTCCATAGCAAGGTTCCTACTATCAACTGAATCTTCAACTTTCTTCAGATCCATAGCACGGTATCGAACAGGAGAAATCGCATAATCTTTGATAGAGATGGCATCTCTAAAATTACCTTTGAATCTTCTTTCGTTTCTTTCCCTCCATAACATGTGGATCGTGACACCAAGGGCTAACTTACCAAGAATAAAACGCAGCTTGTTACTTTTTCATCTATGAGCCAAGGAAGATATAAAGGTAAGCCAAGGGGAAGCTCGGTAACTCAAATTGCAAAGGTAGAGAATACGAATCCAAATCTTCAAGGTGAATGGACAGCCAAAAAACAAGTGATCCAAGGACTCAACTCTTGCACTATATAGACAGCAAGACATACCATTAATCATCCCAAATTGCATCAATCTGTCTTGAGTAGCAAGTCTTCTTCTTATAGCAGTCCATGGAAGAAGACTTTGATGGGTTTTGGATCCAAATAATCTTGTCTTCACAAGTGCTAGGATGGAAGTTAATCGAATTCTTGATCTCCAAAAGTTCCCAAGAATTAGCACTCGGCCATCTCCAAGAATCTTCCCTTATTATTTTCTCCACTCTAGCATTAATGCCCAAGCCCAAATCACTAATATCTCTATCCCCAGAGGATTCTTTCAATACATCTTTAGGGTGCCAATTATCAAACCATAAAAAGGTTAGTTTTCCATTACCCACCACACTCCTAATCAAGTGTATAATCTTACTTCTAAGCTTAAGGATGTGTCTCCAAGCCCAAGAGCAAGAATTCAGGATGACAACCTCCCAAAAGCATTTTCCCCTAAAAAGATATTTATTAATCCAAGAAGTCCAAATAGATTGCCTATTAGTTTGAGATAAAATCTAAATGTGTCTCAACATGGCAGCCTTGTTCCAATCACCAATGCGCATAATGCCTAAACCCCTTTCCTCCTTAGGAGCACAAACAATATCCCAAGCCACCTTGACTTTTGAAATTTCCAAATCGATATTATCCCAAAGAAAGGCTCTTAAGGTAGACTCGATCTCCAGGCGGACTTTAATTAGAAGGGAGAATGAAGATAGAAGACCAATAGACTTGAATGATAATAAGAACAACTTTGATCAACATTAATCTCCCCGCATAGGAAAGAAATTGGCTCCGCCAAGATTTAATCTGAGATAAGATCTTCTCCAAGAGAGGCTTAAAGTCCCCATATCTTAATCTTCTTGTAATCAAAGGAATTCCCAAGTAGGAGACAGGCAAATTACCTTATTCAAAATTGAGCACTTTTAAAAGGTTTTGTTTCATATCATTATCCACTCCTAAAATGAAAAGGGTACTTTTAGAGGGGTTTTCATCATTACATGCATACCAAACCATATACCAAATTCTGTCCAAAGCAGGTTTAAAGAGCCCAAGTGAGATTTCATCCACACGGCTAAGGAGCATAATATCATCTGCAAAGTACAAATGGGTAATCTTCTCCTTACTACATCTCCAATGGTATTTGAAAGAAGGATTTGTCATAGTTTTCTCAAGGAGACGAGAAAGAACTTCCATGACAAGAACAAACTAATAGGGGGACATAGGGTGTCCTTGCCTTACCCTCTAGAACTCGCAAAGAAGCCACAAAGCTCCCCATTAATAGCAAGAGAATATCTTGGAGTAGAGATGCACACCTCAATCCATTAGATCAGCTTGTCCGGGAAACCAAAACCTTCGAGGATAAAAAGAAGAAAACTCCATTGCACTAAGTCATAAGCTTTCATGAGGTCAACCTTGGCTACACATCTTTTGATTTTGGCCAAAGGCCCGTTATAATTATGAAGGAGCTCTTGGCAAAGGAGGATGTTATCTCTAATCTTCCTACCTCTAACAAAGGCAACTTAAGCAGGGCTAATAATCTTAGGAAGAATTCCTTTGATTCTGTTTGCAATAATCTTCACAATGCATTTATATATATTGTTGCAGCAAGATATATGCTTGAAATCTTTGCAAGAAGAAGGGTTAGAACATTGAGGAATTAAAGCAATAATCATGCAGTTAACTTGTCTTACCATTCATCCAAATTTGAAGAAATTCTTTGTAGCTTCAACATTGTCATTACCAACAATCGACTAAGTGTACTTGTAAAAGAAAGAACCAAAACCATCGGAGCTTCGAGCTTTATCCAAGGGGAGCTCAAAGATAGTCTTAGTGATCTCCTTTGAAGGTGTCGAGGATCTCATTCATCCTTGTATCTCCAAAGATAGAGCTGCTCAGATGGTGGATGAGGTGTTTACTTGACAATGGATTGATTGAACCGACGTGTGAATGACCTGCACATCTAGAAACTTTCCAACCCACCCAAATGCGACCTTGGTTAGAAGAGCTATAATTATCCACCATATGCCATCTACATAAAATTTTCTTCATCAAAAAATCCTTATTCTCAGCTTTAACTCTACTCTCAAGTACACCCAACATAAAGAGTTTATTAACTGCAATCAAATGATTCACTTCTTTTTGCTTGATGGGGTCGTTTAGGCCGCTGATATTCCACGCTCCGAAACTAATCATGAAAAAGGTATGTTACAAAATTAAGAAATACGTAATTTCTAATTCATCCCAAGATGATCAACATGTCATTATTGCAATCACACTACTAAATAAACTGCAATAAAGAGATTCACAACATAAATACCTCATTTCCTTAACTCTGAAGCAAAAGTGTATGTTGAGAGAGAAAACCACTGTATTCTTTTGTGTATTAGATAGTTTAATAAATTGAAGAAGTCGTCATTCTAAAAAGGAAGACTTCTTGTTTTATATATGCAGCAGTTGCCCTGGCAACTACTACAGTTTTAAGTGGTAACTACCTTTGGTAGTTTCCACATGCAACATACTTTGGGTGGGTCCCATTATGGGTGTCCCACCCATATTTAATATCTCCTACTCACACATGATGAGGCTATTTTTCTCTGTGCTTCTTTAAGATTCATACATTAGTAAATATGTCATGTGACCATGCATACATCGAAAGCATATTAGTCATATATATGTTAGGAATATATAACTTCTCGAATTGCAAAACTTGGTTTTTATGTTGTATGCAATACCCTAGATTACTTATCACATTTTCCTCTAACAATCTCATTTATAATAAACATTTGTTGTATTCATAATTATATTTTTTCTTTACATAAAAAAAAAAAAAAAACATAATTGGTCGACCAATGAATACACATGATTATAGTGTGATAATCCAAAATTTTAATCTTCCTCTTTTCTCGATTCTTGCAACTTTCATTTAATTTAATTTTCTAGAAATGTCCCAGCAAATTGAATTTATCTTAATCTTTTAGCAACACTCTAAGACAACAATCATTAAATAAGGTTTTTAAGAAACAG